AAAAAAAAAAAAAAAAAAAAAAAGAATTGCATTTCTTGTCTGGGATCTCTTTTGGCTTGGGCTGTCAGGAGGTCTCATGTATCTGAAAATGCTTAGGCACAACAATGCTCTTGACGCTTATAGTTAGTATATTGATCTCTCTCTCCTACCTATAGTCCTTGTTTCAGCTTTGGTCACATGGTTGGTAGTGAAGCCTTTGTTGGTAAGCTGCCGCTGGTCCTTTTTGTTTGTTTGTTTTTATTTTTGTTTTAAGATAGGGTCTTGCTCTGTTGCCCAGGCTGGAGTTCAGTGGCAGGATCACAGCTCACTACAGACTCCAACTCTTGGGTTCTAGTGATCCTCTTGCCTCAGCCTCTTGAGTAGTTAGGATTATAGGTATGCACCACCATGCCCAGCTAATTAAAAAAACTTTTTTTTTGCTAGGGGTGGGGTCTCACTATGTTGCCCAGGCTGATCTTGAACACCAGGCCTCAGGAGATGCTCCTGCCTTGATCTCACAGAGTGCTTGGATTATAAACATGCGCCATTGTGTCTGGCCTGGTCCTCTTTGTGAACAAGACAGAGGAAACTAGGGAGATTACACTAGGCAGGGGGTGCAAAGGCTGGTGGTTTGTATGTTTGTTTATGGGAAGGCAAGGACCCTGGCCAAACTGGAATCCAGTGGGCTAAGGAGTGGGAGGAATTTGGTAGGGAATAGAGAGCAAGGTGAGAGGAGGAGTTTACACTTCATTCTGGAAGACAAAAAATTATCATTAAATGACTTCTTGTGAGGAATACTATAAAGGGCCCTTCTAATGCATTCTGATAGACAAATATAAGTTCTAGGCTATGTGCTCAAAAACAAGCCCTGTTACTTCACCATGTCAGTGTGGCTTCTTGTTCACCTGGCCTCTTCTGCCTCATGAGCAGCAGGGGACACTGAATAAGATGCCTTCAGTAGGGCAGCACCTGTAGCTCAGTGAGTAGGGCGCGGGCCCCATATACCGAAGGTGGTGGGTTTAAACCCCACCCTGGCCAAACTGCAACAAAAAAATAGCCAGGCATTGTGGCACTTGCCTATAGTCTAAGCTACTCAGGAGGCTGAGGTGAGAGAATCACCTAAGCCCAGGAGTTGGAGGTTGCTGTGAGCTGTGTGACGCCATGGCACTCTACCAAGGGTGACATAGTGAGACTTTGTCTCTACAAAAAAAAAAAGGGTGGCACCTGTGGCTCAATGAGTAAGACACTGGTCCCATATACTAAGGGTGCTGGGTTCAAACCCGGCCCCTGCCAAACTACAACAACAAAAAATAGCCGGGCATTGTGGTGGGCGCCTGTAGTCCCAGCTACTCAGGAGGCTGAGGCAAGAGAATCGCCTGAGCCCAGGAGGTTACTATGAGCTGTGTGATGCCATGGCACTCTACCAAGAGCGATAAAGTGAGACTCTGTCTCAAAAAAAAAAAATACCTTCAGTATAGTGAGTCAGTTGCACAAACACATACCAGCCTTGTGTTGGCCATTCATAGACCCAAGTCCTCATCCTGTGTCACTCATAGGGCGTGGGGGAGATAACCCCAGAAACAGAAAATCATGATATCATGTATCTGGTGGGTGTTAGGGACACCCAGGAGGCAGTGCCCAAGCTACAGCTGGAACTATAGGGGCAGGGCGTGGGGTGGGGGTCAGGTTCAGTGGAGAGAGATAGGTTGTAGAGGTGAGCAAGGCATAGAGGTGAGCAATGGCACGCCTGTTCCAGGAGCCATGATTGCATCATGCTGAGGACTTGACATCTACATCAGTGTGTGGGCAAGTTGGGGCGGGATAGGAGCATGTTGGAGAGGTGACGGGGTAGGTCATGCAGGGGAAGGGGAATATGGGCCAGGTCAGGGGCCCTGCCTACCTGTGCCCCTTCAGAACATGTGTGAAGTGGGCTAGTGAAGCCCAGCAGGGCAAGGTGGGGGCTATGGCAAGTACATGCCTTGTGTCAGGTAGCTGCAGTGCAACCCTGGCCCACAGCTGCTCCGGGGGCATGCAGGTAGTGTTGCCAGGGCCTCTGGCATTTCAACAGAAACTGGGATTCCAATTTCAGTATGAGAGTTTCTGATTTTTAAGTAGTGGCAACTAATTAACATAGTTTAAAAATACCATACCAGCAAAACAAAAGCCATCTGTGGGTCATAATTCAGCCAGCACTTGCTGCGGCTCATGGGAAACCTGAGGGCTTTAAGCTGGGGAAAACCATGATCTGGATTTTGGGAAGGTCCTTTCAGGGCCTATAAAGGGCAGCAGCTAAGTGAGGAGAGCCAGGGAAACTGGGACCAGTGAGGAGCCTGGTCATATGAGGCCAGGGCATTGATGGGAGTGTGGTGACCCTGGTACTGGTGTAGGATGGCTAACAAAAGTTAGCTACAAAGCAAGGCATATTCCTGGGTGGCCTTGGGTTCTTGCTTAGATGGAGGAGTGAGCAAGCTGGTGAGTGAGCTGAGTGCCCATGTCCTGGCCAGCCTGGAGATGAGGTGGCCAAGAGCCTAGAGGGTGGGGAGAGGATCTGTGTGCCAAGTGGTGAGGGAAGCAGGGGTGCTGCCTCGGAGACTCTTTCTGCCAGATTGTGGACAAAACATGCAGGCCGTAAGAAAGCCAAGAGCCCCTGTGGGGATGGGTGCTCAGGACACTATCCCTTTGGTTTCCAGGGTGACCAGCGTGATGAGGAAGAAGAAACCCAGATGAAGAAGTCAGAATCAGAGGTAGAGGTGAGAGCTAGGGGCGCAGGATAGGTGAAGTGGATGGAGGCTTCCTCAGCGTGGCACCAACCCTTTCTTTGTGTTCTCAGGAGGCAGCAGCCATTATTGCCCAGCGGCCTGATAACCCACGGGAGTTTTTCAAGCAGCAGGAACGAGTTGCATCAGCCTCTGCAGGCAGCTGTGATGTGCCCTCGCCTTTCAACCACCGGCCAGGTAGTCCCAGGCTTCACCCCCACCTGACCTCCACTCCTCAGGTCATGGCCCAAGCCTCTTTGGGACTCTTTTCTTAGAAGGGAAGCCTTGCCCAAGGACCCCTTGGAAAAGGAGAAGCCCTTCATCCAACGTGCTTCCACCTACCACTTTCCAGGTGGCAGAACACCCAGAAGGGCCCGGGGCAGTGTCAATGTTGGGCCTTGGCTGAGCAAAGGCAGTGCCAGGGCCAATTGGGCAGCTCTGGCATGGGCTGGGGCACAGCACCAGCCTCTGGGAGCAGCCTTGCTGGGTCGAATTAGGTCTGGCCTGAAGGGTTGGGGATGCATGTGGGTTGGGCTCTCACCTTGGCTGAGTTTGAGCCTAGATCCTGTCCCTGGTCTCCGTTTGGCCCCTCCCTGCACTTTGCCCCACCCCAACTGCCCAGTACTCTCATATGCTGGCTGATGCTGGTCTGAGTGTGCTTGGCCCTGAGTGTGCTGCTGTCCCTGTTGTGTTGCTGCTCAGAGGCTGGCTGTGTGTAGCAGGCTCTGTGCTGTGTGTTTGCTGCTGGGTTTGGCTGAGTGTGCGCCCTGGCTGGAGGCAGCTTGGACATCCAGGGCTAGCCCTGGGGGCGGGTGAGGCCTCAGGCGGGGGTGGGGGAGACTGACCCTCTCTTGTCCTCTGTCTTTCTCTGTCTGTCTCTCTCTCGGCAGGTCGTCCGTACTGCCCTTTCATAAAGGCATCGGACAGTGGGCCTTCCTCCTCCTCCTCTTCCTCCTCCTCCCCTCCAAGGACTCCCTTTCCCTATATCACCTGTCACCGCACCCCAAACCTCTCTTCCTCCCTCCCATGTAGGTAGCAGCCCCAGGCCTCTGCGGGGGGTAAGGAGGGCCCCGCCTCCCAGCAGCTTCCCACCCTCACTCCCCTAGCCTGACTGCTGATCTCTGGTATTTGTCCCCAGAGCAGGTACTGCCTGCCTCTTGCCCCTGGCCCTGTGGGGCACTGGCCCCCAGGGGCCTGGCTTAAAGGGTCTGGAGCTGTAGTCTGGCCCCTGGGGGACCTGGAAAGCTCCCAGCCCCCACTCAGACTCCAGAGAGGAGGTGCTGGCCAGGCCCCAGGTGCACAGTCCTGGTCCCATCTGGCTCCCCTGCCCTTACTGACCAACCTGGGGGTTTTCCCACAGGCAGTCACCTGGACAGCCACCGGAGAATGGCACCCACCCCCATCCCCACCCGGAGCCCATCCGACTCCAGCGCAGCCTCCACCCCGGTCGCTGAGCAGGTTGAACGGGCCCTGGATGAGGTCACATCCTCGCAGCCACCACCATTGCCACCGCCACCCCCACCAGCCCAAGGTGAGCAAGGGTACCTCTCTACACTGGAGCTGCTGAGGCGTTTAAAGATAACTAGGGTGGCGCCTGTGGCTCAAGGAGTAGGGCACTGGCCCTGTATGCCAGAGGTGGTGGGTTCAAACCCGGCCCTGGCCAAAAACTGCAATAAATAAATAAATAAAGCTTAAAAAAAAAAAGATACTAGGTAAAGTGATACCAGGAGGGGACAGTTGGTGCTGAGATGATTCCTTCAGGGAAGTCCCCAACTCCCTCTCTCCTCACTGGGTAGACAGGTATTATAGAGTGGCTGCCCAGGGTCTCCACCTCCCAAGGGAGCTGATTGCATCTGTCTCCTCCATCTGCTGTGACAGAGACCCAGGAGCCAAGCCTGGACAGTGAAGAGACAAGAGCAGCAGCCCCTCAGGCCTGGGCTGGCCCCATGGAGGAGCCCCCTCAGGCACAGGAGCCTCCCCGAGGGCAAGGCAGCCCTGAGGAGGACTTGATGTTCATGGAGGAGTCTCCAAAGCAGGTTGTCCCAACTGCCCCCATGGAGCCTGCGGTGGAACCTGCTGAAGTTGACACCACTGTGGCAGACACCTCAGTGGCTGATGCTGATGCGGCTAACACCATTGAATCTGCCACTACCGCTGCTGACACCACTGTTGCCAACAATGTCCCTGCCACCACTGCCAGCCTCATCGACCTATGGCCTGGTGATGGGGAAGGGGCCTCTGCACCCAGGGCCCCCATGCCATCCTTGGGTACTGAGGTCACCCTGGCAGAAGTGTCCCTGCTGGATGAGGTGGCTCAGGAGCCCCTGCCACCTGCAGGTGGAGGCTGTGCCAACCTTCTCAATTTCGATGAGCTGCCTGAACCGCCAGCCACCTTCTGTGATCCAGAGGAGGAAGCAGAAGGGGAGACCCTGGCTACCCCACAGGCCCCAGCTATGCCCTCGGCTTTCCAGCTGGAGCAGGAGCCAGAGCTGGAGCAGGAGCCCCACCTGCTGACCAATGGCGAGACCACCCAGAAGGAAGGGACCCAGGTGGGGCAGGGAGAATGGGGGGAGGGGACTGGTAGTTGGGTTAAGCTGGGGGTTGGCTCTGCATTCCTCAGGCTTGCAGCTGTACCCCACCTCTCTGTGACCCACATTACTAGGAGGATGCTCACTCCACTCCCTTTCTCTGTGCCATCTCCGGTTCCATTCCCTATTCAGGCTTCTGTGTTTCCCTAGCAACCGCTGATGGAATCATCAGTTGCTGAGGAAATCAGCTCAGGCCTGATGGGTCAGCCCTAGTCCTGCTGGATGGGGCCCAGTGACCTGGTGCTTTTCCCTGTAGGCCAGCGAGGGGTACTTCAGTCAGTCACAGGAGGAGGAGTTTGCCCAATCTGAAGAGCTGTGCGCAAAGGCTCCACCTCCTGTGTTCTACAATAAGCCTCCAGGTAGTTCTGGGAGGGATGGTGGGGAGGAGTTTGGGTGGGGGGGTCTGAGTTCTAGTTTGAGTGTTGGCTGGCACTCCCCCCCCCCCCCACACACACACACTGCTGGCACAGCTCCCAGAGGTTGGGGACAAAATCAAGGATGTGCTGGGCCATCTCTTTAAATCCTTTCCCCTCCCAACACCAATAGAAATCGACATCACCTGCTGGGATGCAGACCCAGTACCAGAAGAGGAGGAGGGCTTCGAGGGTGGCGATTAGTGATGGTGCCAGCCCTAGGTGCCCTCACCAAGGCCGCCCACCTGCGCTGCCTCTGGCCAGACGGCCCGCCGCACCTGCAGCTCCGCCTGGCACTCATTCTGGATTCTGGCCCTGGCCCGGGACTTGGCCGCTTCCCCAACCACAGGGCCTGACTTTTACAGCTTTTCTCTCTCTCTCTTTTTTTTAAAGTTGATAGGAGACTTCTACAGTTGACTGGTTTTCCTTCCGTTGGTAGTTGAGACGCTGTTGCAAATTCTGCCCTTCCCCACCCGGACCAGATTATAGCTCTTAGTCCTCCCTGCTCAGCTGGCCAGGGCACAGGCCTCACCTTGCTTGGGGCCTGGTGTGGGGGGAGCTCTGGTGGGAAAATGTACCTCCACCTCTTTTCCTAGTTTTATGTTTCTTGGAAAAATATCACTTTGTATTCTCTGTCCAGGGCTTCAGATATTTTGCACGAATTTTAAAACATGGCAATAAATGGCTCGTGGGCTCTGGCTCCCTGGGACCTCCTCCCTGCCTGGCCCAAAGGAAGTAGCGGGCCCAGCTGGGGCCCCTCGGCTACCCCGCCCTCTCCTGCCGGGCAGGTCCCAGGCTGGAGGCCCTAGTTGAGATTCACGTCAGGGCTGTGGATGGGGCCCTGGGGCTTTGGTGGCCCCTCCCCCAACTCCTTCCTCTTTGCTTGGGTTCCTTTTTCACATTCAGTAACTGTTTTTTTGGAAAGCACAAACTTCTGTAACGGGTCGTGCTCATGTCTGTTAATAAAGAAATCCAGATCCCTTTGGGCCTGCTGCTCTGGGCCTCCAGGGGCTGATCTGGTGTGGGCCGCCCCTCCCGCCTCCTTGGCCGCTAAGGGAGCGGCACCTTTCTGCCACCAGGGGGACGCCCTGACCGTGATCTCAAAGGTAGGCTTGGAGAGGAGGGGTCTCAGGTTCACCGGAGAACCAGCCTTTGGTCCCGGAAGGCGGCTGACCTCAGGTTCAGTTTTGTACTCTCAGGCTAGCTTGTAGCGGAAACGCGCGCTCACGTTCCTTCCCATCAAGGCCCCAGCTTCTCTGGTTAGCAGAGCCTTGGGCGCTAGCAGCGGGTGTCCCCTCCGCTTGTACCAAACCAGATCACACACCTTTATTATCCTCAAAATGTAACAAACGGGGTAAGAAATCCTTCCCTCCCCCCACCCCTCCCCGCAGTCCAGGGGAAGCATTTAAAAAGCCCCGCAGTCAGGCCAGGAATCCGCCATGGGGCCCGGGACGCCGGACGCGCCTCTATACGGCTGTAGTCCTCCCGAACAAAGGGATGGAGACCGGCAGGCGCCAGGCTCCGTGCTCCAGGGGCTCACGGCTGCTAAGCTCTGAGTCGGTCCAGCTGGGGAAGACCCGGCGGCCTCGGTCGGCCTGCAGACAGAGGGCAGGGCAGGGCGGCGCTGGCCGAGGGGCGCTGGGTAGGTGCAGCGCCGAGGTGTAGCCCCGGTCTAGGAAAAGCGGCTTGTAGCTGGGCGGCGGTTGCTCCTGTTTCTCCGCGCTATCGCGGCGGCTCAAAAACGGCGTGACGATCTTGCGGTAGAGGCCGCGCGTGTCCGTGAGCACCTCGCTGTAGGGCGGCGGCGGCTCGGCCATCAGCACCGCCTCTTCATAACATGGTGGCTTGGACATGTCCGATTCCGCTGCAGAGTAGGAAGCGGTCCAAGAGGTGAAGCCACTGGCCCCCCAGCCTCCCGCAGAGGCCGCGGCCAGCTGTCAGCTGCCAGCCCCAACCCGCGGTAGCCTCCTAGGTTCTCCGGGAGGTGGCAGATGGAAGCCCCACGGGGGCACAGCGAACCCGCCCCCTGCCGAGGCCCTGCCCACCCCAGCTGCCTATCAGAGGTTGGTACTTACCTTGGCGTGGGTAGCTCCAGGGCCGCGGCGGCACCGAAAGGTGCGGTGGCGGCGGCGGGTGCGGAAGCGCGTGGTGGTGTGGGTGCGGGTGCGTGTGTGACTGCGCAGGCCCGTGATGTAGGAGCGGGTGCACGTGCGGATGTGCGTGCGCCGGTGTCTCCAGACGGCTGCGGTGCGGCGGTGGCGGCGGTGCCAGGCCTGGAGGGCTCCCGGCCAGGCTGCCCTCCAAGTCGAGGGGCTCCAACTCTAGGGCGCGTAGGTTCTGCTCGCGCAGTCGCTCCTCCTGGCGCCGTTTGAGGCGGCGGCGCAGGAAGCTGCAGAAGCAGCAGAGCAGAACGATGAGACCCCAGATGAGCCAGAAGCCTGCGAAGCACGTGAGGAACGTGTAGGTGCCCTGGGACATCACCATGGCGGCGGCGGATCCTCAGCTGCTTTACTGGACACTGGGCTCCTCTGCGTGGTCCCGGGCCCGCACCACGCTCCCAGGTGCCGCCAGTGTCACTCGGGGACCCGCGGCGGGGGGCTGCCCGTGGCGGGGCTCAAGTCGTGCTTGCGCCAGCGGGGCACAGCAGCGGCGCCCGCTCCTTCCCATGGCGCCGGCGGGCGAGCCTCACCCGGGGCCGCGCGGGACCTGTGGGCCAGACACAATGTGCAGTGAAGGCCCGCCGCAGCCCCGGACGACTTCGCGGTCCTCGCCCCAGCTCTGCGCGGTCCGGGAAAAGCCTCCACGGTGGGAACCCCCGCGCTCCCCGGGGGGCAGGTGACGTCACCGGGTGGGATGACGTCACGTCTCGAGGTTTCCCCGGTAGGGTTTCCCCGGATCTGTGACCGGGCCGCCGCCGCTGAGCCTGGTTGCCGAGGGGACCCACGGCCGGCCAGTAGGGGGCGCTCAAAGGCCAGACTCAGGCTGAGCCCACACCACAGATTCGCCCTCCACACTTCCGTTTCCCCAGCACTGCGCAGAGCTCGGGCGCGGACCCAGAGTGCCTGGGTTCCCAAAGGATTTCGGAGGCCGATGGGCACCAGGGGACTTAAGAGTTATCTCAGCGGGGTTGCTTTGCGGCGGGTAAAGGGTAGTGCACCTCCTAGAGGCCTACAAGCCCCCATCCCCGACACTCTGTGATACCTGGCAGTACCTGCTGTCAAAGCATGGAACATCCGGCTCAGCACTGCGCTCTGGCCAGTGGCTCTGAGTGCTACTGCGTGCCACGGGCCCTGCCTTTGTCTGAGCTTGGCGCGCCAGGCGGGTGTGGGCCTGTCCCTCTCTCTTCCTCTCCAGGCGCCCCGCCTTCTCCAACTCTGCTTCCCTGCCTCCTACCCAACCGCAGCCCCTCTTGTCTCTGCCGCCCTAGCTCCAGGCGGCCGGCTCCCTTTCCCTCTCTGCTGGGAAATCTAGATGAGACTCAAGGAAACTTGTCTTTCGCCCCTATCTCGTCCTGCACTCACTCCAGATGGGCATCTCTGGTTTCTTTTCCTCTCTGCAGCTGGGGCTGAGAAGGGGAACTGAGGAGTAAAGGGTGGCAACCAACTGCTCACCACCCCCACAGAACTCAAATCAGCCCTTCTTGAATGCCTTATACCCAGAGGCTTTAACACACAACCGTTTGGGGTAATTGGAATGATTCCTATTTTCCTGATGAGGAATGGGGAAGCAATTAATTGGCTGTGTAGATGGCAGGTGGCAGAGCCATAATTTGAACTCAGGCCTCACCATAAAACCCTAATCTGAGTGTGGTTGGGGTATACTGCTGCCTGGGCTACTTTGTGGTCCTTTTCCAGGAACCCTGAGGACCCTCCTACCCAAGATATGTCCAAGACACACACACTCCACTTTGGGGTCATGGTGAGCCTGAGCCCCAAGCTGGGGGGAAGCCAGGCCACAAGCCACCCCACACTTTTCTCCAGATGACTCTTGTCTAACTCCACAGCTGCCTTCAGCCATGTGCCACTTGGTGCCCGTGCCAGTCCCCTTCTCCTGGGCCTGCGTTCCAGAACAGACAATGGCAGGAACAATAGCTCCGCCCACCCCCTCCACAACCCTGCCATGAGGCTGCCATGGCGACGCAGCCCAGATAAAAACACGATGCTGCCAGTCACTGGGAGTTAATTAAATCTGTTATTCTCCTTTTCCTGAGCCATCAGGAATGCTCTGAGGAAACTGGCACTAAGTAGAGGTCCCACTGGACTGGAGAATGGGAATAGCTCTGGGTCAGAAATGGTACTTCTTGGGCTAAAGATGATAGGATAGGATTTTTTTTTTTTTTTTTTTTTTTGAGACAGAGCCTCAAGCTGTCCCCCTGGGTAGAGTGCC